TGCAGATTAGTTATTGCTCGTATTACTATAGGATTTAAACCAGAATAGTAGCTAGTTTTAACCATTTTACGGATATAGGATAGCAGTTTAGTGATTTATAGTTTTTACCAATTTTAATGACTTATAGTGATTTATAGCATGTATATGATAATAAAATATCGGATTCATTTTTATTCGATTTATATAGGGTCATATCTCGGCTAAGCTAATTTTATATTTACATGCGGTTTGTGGATCTCTCGTGATTAACAGGGATTAGCCAGACATGATGTATAACATAAAAAATCGTATCACCCTGGCTCCCAGTCAGTTCCCGGTACTTCCTCGCAACTTTCCCGCAACTCAAATCACGAGGATCAGCCAATCAGATTTTGCGCGCGCAGTAACTAAGCCACCATCATTATCTCTCAGCTCATTTAAATAAAAGCGGGCCCTTCTTGCTTACCCTATCACCTCACTTCACGGCGTTCCATAAAACTTTTCTTTAACCGTAAAAATGTCTCTAGAGTGGAATGAACAACAAACCCGTTTCCTCATCGACGAACGTAAAAATGGTAATGAAGAATATCACCAAACCCGCCCTTTTTTCAAAAAAAAATGTACACTTTAACTAGCTGAAATACAAATCACATGCGCATCATAAGTATTATTCCGATACATACTTTATACAGCCATAAATTTATATGATTTATTTCATTGTGTTTCAACAATTTCATTACTAAAAATATATAATATTAACTATGATTGTATGCGAAAAAAAAATCTCATTGTTTCAACAATAAATTGAGCTGTGGTGTGGTGGGCATTTTCCTAATAAATTTTGTCTTTTCGATTTGTTCAGGTGGTGTATAAGAACCCGGTGGTGGCCGATTTTCATAATCATTTATGATTTCACTAACACGTTGCTGACAAATACAAAGTGCAATGGAATTTGTAAAAAAAACTATATAATAAAGAGAAATCGAAATAAAACATTCTATTTACCTCTATCATTACAAAATGGGAAAATGTCAATACAATCAACGGAAAAGATCCTTTATCAGTTGTTAACTTGTTTTTAATAACTGGCCATGATCTGTATACGCCGTCATATGCTAAGTCAATAACAAACGATTCTATGGTATCTCCTATATTATCAAATGAATTTTGTAAATAAAGCATTGCGGAAACAGCAAGTATATAATTATATAGATATATACCCATGTTTAAAAAGGCCATTGATTTGTTAGGTCCCCCCTTTTCTAGTAACCGGTTAATTGATTTCTTTCCTTTAAGATGTACTTTTATGAAATCTTGATTTTTCCTATATTGAGTGTACCCCACAGGCTTAATTTCGGAATTTAATATCGCGATGTCGTCAATTACACAGCTAAAGTCCGGCCTTTGTTTTCCATTTACACTTTTATTTAATTCCAGAGTGTAAGGTGTGTATTCTCCGCCAAAAATGATTTTTATAAATGGATCTAAGTTATAAACACTGTGCTTAGTCTCAGTTTCTTTCGTTTTGATGATAGTGGAAGCTCGTCTTTACTAAGAGAAAAGAAAAGAAAATTTATTATTATTCAAATAGATAATTCCTTTGTTTTTCTGTAATACAATAGCTTACATGTAGTTAAATATGCGTCTAGCTTTTTCACCTAATTCACCATCATCATTTAGTGTAAAACTATAATTCAATCCGAGTGAAAAATCGTTTGTTGCTTTATAGAACGTGGTTAAGAGTGAATCTGTTAAAATGGGTCGTGTAACTTTGTATGGGTTCGAGTTTAGAACTTGTCGCCATTCAGAACTTGTAAATGTAGAGTAGGGACAAGGCCAGCTCATTACGATTATTGATGATAGGGCTCTAAAATATAACAGAGAATTTAATTTAGTACATCTTCATAAGTAAATGCAACAGATATTTTTGGAGTACTTACAATAGTTCGAATGTATTGTTCCATGTTAATTTCGTTTTTTTCTGCCTAATACTTGCTATTATCTGTCTTTGATACTCCTTAAATTTTCTCGACACGTTAACCGTGCCTACTTCCCACTAAAACGTAGAAATAACATTCAAAAACATAGCTTAAATACAATAAACAGAATCGAAAGCTCAGTTACTACCATATACCTCATTTAATGAGCTGAATGTTATTTGTTGTTCTAATTCTTCTAAATCATCATGTTTTATTTCTATTGTTTCGTTGGAATCACTATCATTGGGAATATTATTTTCCTGATGACATTGTCATAGCAAGAGCGAAAAAATTTAGCAAGGTTATCTCAGGTTATCTCAGTATAAATCCTTAATAAAGATAATTACACTTGATTCGCCCATTTCATCACTTGAACATTCTCGAGTTGTAGTCTCATAATCGGGAGTATCAACATTTGCTAAATTCAACTAGATCACAACGCATATGATATGTCAGTACAAAACTAAGTATGAAAGCGAGTCTAATTATTATATAGTCAATGCCAAAATACCTCCGTATGACTCCTGATTTCTTCTTCAGCATCATGTTCATCAAGTTTTTGCGATTCATTTGTGGAGGAATCGGACGCAGAGAGACCTTTGACGGTTTTAATCTGTGTTATCAACGAGGTAAGAAAAGGTAAGAAGATATTTCGTAGTTAATGGCATTTGCAGTTTTCATACTGACTTTTTTTATTCTTTGGGCGGTAGTGTTGTTTGCACGCTTTCTTGGATTCGTCTACATAATGATATACAAGCAAACAACTGCCATTTTAGTAGAAGGTCCTTCTACAAGTTCAACGATTAAATAATATATATATGTACCTCTTTCTGGTCTCTTTCCTTCTGTAATACAGAAGTGAAAGTTCCACGTTCAATGGTCCCAATTCCACTTCCCGAAATTGTTGAATTATTAATGCTAATTGGAGAGACATTCGCTTTGCCTGACTTACGCTCTTTATCCCAGTCTTTAGCAATTTTCCGATCATCACCCTAGTACGAAAGATTTAAAATTAAAATATTCTCAACTACAATTTATCATCCATCTTCCAATTTTTCATCCCACCGGATCAGCCAGTAGCCTTGAACATCAGGCAACCCAGTAAGCCACCTGTGCTCCAGTGGGATCAGTACTGGATCAGCCAGTAGCCTTGAACATCAGGCAACCCAGTAAGCCACCTGTGCTCCAGTACTGATTTTGTGACTCGGCCAATAACCTTGAATGACGACGACCCAGTAAGCCCCCGTCACGTCACTTTTTTCCCACTTAAAACTTCAGTCAAAAAATTTACTTGCCTCTCTATAGCTATCAAGAAGAACTCGTGCTCTTTCCTTCCGAGCGCCTTGTTCGTGGTCAAAAATGGCTTCGAGAGATTTTATATAAAAATCAACTTTTAAATCAAATGGTTCAATGTCCGACTCGTTAAGAAACCCCAAGATACTCCATTGGAAGAAGTACAATCGAAATAATCATGTTTCGACATGAGATTGAAAGAAGTGAAGAATTTGATTATATAGAAATTAGAATGTATTAATAGCTATGTAAGGTAGTTAGTTGTAAAGGAGGGTGTTACACAAAATTAGTGATAATTGATTAGTCACACTGCACTTCGTAGAAATCACATGATTCCAATGGTAACGGTAATGCAAATGTCCAGCATCACATTATTTGACGCTTAATTTTTTTATTACAAGCCAGATATTATATTTGAGAACGTATATACACATAAAACACGCACTCTTAAATTTAAAAATCAAAAACACATTCTTTATTAATATTTTTTCATAAAGTAATACATGAGAAAGGGCCGGCCGGCTAAGTAAAAATGAAACTAATAAAAGATATTGGAGTAGCAGGTTGTTTCAAGGGAGGAATTTGCCAAGCCCCAACCCATATAATGGCAGTTCCTTCCCCACTACTCAGAAGCGTGGTAATCTAGCCAAGCACCTATTTTTTCTAAGTTTTTGCTATTTATATTTTCTCCATGGTAAAAACCCTTTATCATATCTTTCCCAATTGCTCCCATCCCAAGTACAAGAATATCAACCGATACAATAGCACACATCTGATCCAAAGAATAACCTCTCTCACCCTTAACCCTATCAAAGACTTCCTTAAACTGTACCCGGATTCCCGAATTGGTTTCAGATTCATTGGTCGAATTAGCTTCAGATTCATTGGACACACTTTGTTGGTCAAAATTGGATCTTTGAACTATTGCATAATGTTGATTTATTTCGTTTTGGAGATTTTCGATAAAACCATTAATTCTGCTAAATTCATTACGGCAGGCTTCTTCGATATTATTAACTTTCGTAGTTACGTTATTGACCATTGAAAAAATTTTCTGCGCCTCAGATGTGTAGCCAGCATCACGTGAATTGATTTTAGCGATTTCTCCGGTAAGTTTCTTATTAAGTTCATTATTGTTTCTGACAAGCTCCGCAGTGAAAGTAGAATTAACTTCAAAAAGACGTGCGGAAAGTTCGTTGGCGATTTTAGTGTTAACTTCAGTGCTAAGTTTTTTGTAGACATCAGTAAGGAGTCTTTCGATTTCCGCAGTAATACTTCCATCACGTGTCTTATTATTTTCGATTTCTGCGGTAAGAACACCATTAATTTCGGTCATACGTGCAGAAAGCTCATTAGCAATTTTATTATCATATGTAGGAGGGTGATTGGAGAATTGGTTTTTGATGACATAAACCAAGAAACAGGCGCTAAGAAGAATAGAAACTGTAAAGTCTTCAAAGATATGCCACAAGGCGTTGTTTTGCAAGACGAGTGCAGACATATTTTCAGAGTGAAGTAGAAAAAAAAAATATGTTTAGGTATAGATCACGGGTAATTTTGCGTAATTTTTACGATTATTAGTATAATTTATCTCTAATGAAGCTAAAGGTGAATCCACATCTCTTTTATACATTTTACAGTCAGTTCCACGGCAAGGATCCCAATTAATGCTAGTATAATTAGAAGAGAACTCACGTCGAAATACAGGCCTGGAATAATTGTGAAAATGATATCATGTCCATACCCCTATTTCTGAAAAAAGAAATGTTAA